TTCGATTAATCGAGCGATTAACCGATTAATTTTGAAAATAATCGAAAAGCAGTCATTAAAAATTACACAATAGTAGCGTTCTTGTACGCGCTAGTTCGCACCAGTTTTTACCAACTATCACGTTTTGCCGTTCTTGTCCAAAAAACTGGTAAGAAAGGGGAAATTGAGAGCGAAAAGAGACATTTCTTTTTGAGGAGAAGTAAGCGAGAAAAACAGCTGATCGCATGTTGTTGGGTGGAATTGAAACTAATAAAGGAAATGTTTATGAGGTTTTTATAGTTGAAATTGACAAAATAAACCTATTTAAACATAATATACATTGTCTTATTAGCAACTAGCTGCGAATAAACAACAAATTAATCAGCTGTTCGTAAAACTTGCAAATTATTACTGGTTTTGCGTTCTTGTACTTTTGTGCTATGAGAGCGAATTCTCAGAAATTCAGATACTGGAGAGTTACTGGCAAGTTACTGGATAATTTGTAAAAGAACACAACTAATAATAGTTGCGTTCCAGATGCTTCACGAAATTCACGATTTGCAGGAACAGCTGTTTTCTCCATTAATAAACCTTATGGGAGGTGGTCACCTGGAACGACTTCCGGTAAAAACCTGCAAATCGTGAAGCATCTGGAACGCAACTAATGTATCAATCAAAATTCCGTAACAAAATTGGCATTCTTACCACTAATGTTAGCAACAAAAAAAGTGTCCACTCTACGCGATACATATATATCGCACACCGTCTTCAAAAGAGTCAAAACCCAAAATAATACGTTCGTCAGAAAATGCGAAAAACTATTTCGTAGCACATGCTAATCATATGGGCAGGGCGACTTTACCTTAGGTTTTTTTTTAACAAATTATAACAAAAATTTGCTTCAGCTTTTGCTGAAAGGTAAATAAAAGCTCTGTCTACATTTTTAGCGCATAATCTCAAAAATGCTAAATTTTGAGTTGTGACTCTTTTGAAGACGGTGTACGATATGTATAATTTTACTGGTTGGGAGATTTTGCACATTGCCGTAGTCTGCAAATTTTTAAACGATATTTTTGCAAAAAAGTGCAACCTAAGTAACAACTAAAAAATCACAACGCAGGTATCCACATATTTTCATTTTATTTTCCAACTGCGGTGTTGTGCATTTTCTTCCATGCGCTTTTTTATATGGAAGAAAATAAGAATCATCGTAAAAAAAATGCCAAAAATCAACGGTACCTCACCTCACCTCAAACCCGAAATTTTTTATACAAAAATTTAATGGGCTACAAAACTGCATGCTGAAAATCTTTCTAAGAAATCTAATTAAAAAGCTGGAATTTTTTGCTGAACTTTATTTTTTATTGCATAAGGTTTTATCTATTTATATTTATACGGTTTTTGCTAAAGAATAAGCTGTATTTAAAAAAATAGCTAAAATTAAATTCTCCTAATTTTTACATGGGGTATATAGCGGACGGTATACTACTTAACATCTTTTTATTTATTGTTTCCCTTAGTTTTTAATTTTCTTGATTGTTGGCACACTGAATTCATGGCGCTAGTTTCCACCATTTAACAAGAAATGTATATTTAAATAAAACAGTTAATTTTTATAACTTATGTAAATGGTTTTTATTAATTTTAGATTTTAATCGAAACGACCGATTAATCGGTTAATTTCTTACGATCAATTGCAATTATTAATGCAATGTTTTCGATTAATCAATTAATCGATTATGAATTCTTTTTGCCATTTAAAATTTACCTTAAGTTCAATTAGACACTGTTTACACGGGGTAACTAGGCCTTTCCCACCACCAAGATATCGAGACTAGATGGATCCGAAACTCGGTCTTTCCGACCACCTAGAGTACATTAAAAACCTAAGATAATAAACAAAATATGAGCGGATTGGAAACAAGTCCTTTCCAACCGCCACGAAAGCGCAACTGGACGGGTTGACAGATTTTTGACACTTGTGAGAGAGTAACTTATTTTTACGCTCTAATTACCGAAACAGCCCGGAGAGCATGTGAAAAAAACCCTAATACAAATACAACTGTGTAAAACTCTTTTATCGACGCCTCATGTGAGATAAATATTTTATTTTGACCAGTTGTACTACATTCATGTCATTGTTTAATATTTGCTTGGAATAGTTAATTTCACGTTTTAAATTGTGCAACTCTAATCAGAGGTCCGAGTGGCGATCAATCGACTTTCTGCCTTTCATATACCTTGTTGCTTAAACGTACCAAAATCACCGCCCAAAAATGAGGACGTAAGTAGCGCTTTCTCTGATCATTTGCTGTTAACGATACTGATTTGTGTTCTTAATAGGCGGGAAATTTTCAAAACTCCTGGTGAGGGATCGGAATCGGATGAGCTGGATGAGCTAGCTGATGTTGAGGAAGCTGAGGATGTTGTTGCGTTCGAAGTTAACATTGAGGAACCATTCGAATCAGAAGATTCTGAAGTAGAGTATAGTATACCATACGGCAGTGCCATCGGAGCTCATGATGAGTCGGATGAAGACTCAGACTTTGACCCAGATGCGGAAGAGGACAGTTCTGATTTCCAGCCAGATGAATCAGATGATTCTATGTCGGAGTCGGATAATAAAGCGGAGGTGATAACAAATAACAAAGCTGGCAATTTATCGAAACAGGAAACACGTAATGCAAATACGACCGGTGATGCCGGTCCGAGCTCAAGTGGTGTTGGAAGGAGTAATCAAGAAGGTGATGATGTTAGTAATGTACTAGAACTTAACGAAGACGAGGAGGACGATGAGACTGTGCGCGCCATCATTGCAGCAATTAAAAAACCACGCACAGCACCACCAGAAATTAAATTGGATGATTTCATTACGGACATTTGTTTTCACCCGGAACGTGATATCATAGCACTCGCTACAATAACCGGCGACGTGTGCCTTTATGAATATGCTAACGATGGCAATA